AAGGCATTCAAACCGGTCAGTCCTAGAAGAGATCAACCCTGACTGCTCCTTAGAAGGCCAGATCCTGAAGTTGAAACTCAAATACTTTGGCCACCTAATGAGAAGGAAGGACTCACTGGAGAAGAGCCTAATGCTGGGAAAGGTTGAGGGCAATAGAAGAAGGGGATGCCAGAGAATGAGGTGGCTAGATGGAGTCACTGAAGCAGTAGGCATGAGCTTAAATAGACTCCAGAAGATGGTGGAGGACAGGAAGGCCTGGAGGAACATTGTGGGGTCGTGATGGGTCGGACACGACTTCACAACTAACAACAACAATAGATTTGTTTGAGTGCCAAGCTTCTAGGAATTCCCTAAAAGTTTTTGGATTTAGCTTGGTGCAGAATGTTGAAACTATGGTTACATCTGTCTGTGTTCTGAGAAATTATGGAGTTTTCATTGTGTCTTTTGAAGATCATGATGATGATCGTATCATCATCACTGAAGATCACCATGCAACAGCAAAGTGTTTACAATCAAAAGGTATCTCTTTTGATTTGCCCACCCAGAAGAATCCATCATACTTTATTCACTCCCCTTGCTTACACCTTCCAAGTAAAGGGTGGCAAAATTCAACAATAAATTCAAAATTGTGCTTTCATTATCATATATATATCACACACACACACACATATTATATAAGCATTTGAGGCATCTGAATATGTGCAATGGCGTCACTATATATATCCTTCCCACAGCCGTATCACAGTGTAGACATATAAGGAAGGAGCTTGCACACTACTAACATTGCCATGAGGTAAGGCTTGCTATAATTTGTCCATTTTGCTACGGACACTCCATTCTAATATGCACAGAACAGGGGTTATTTCCATCAAGTGTGCAACTAAGGAGGAGTGCTTGATGCCAGCTTTGAAATTTACAAATGCCACTCGAAATAAAGCAGCATTAAAAAAAAAATACCACCCTCTAATCAGTTTTAGTCACAAACAATGGCTGCAGTTGAATGGCAAGTGGTAAAAATGCCACCAGTATGCCAAAACCAAAGGTTTTCCTGTGTAGCTCCTCCAGCTATGATGGAGTCATCTGCCAAGATAATAGAAGCTTGTAGCAAAGAACCAACTACAACTATCCTCAAGCCTCACTAGCTGCAGATTCAAATGGGTTCTAAAATTATTTGGCTTTTATTGCCTGTCCACAAAAGCAGAAAGTATCATCTGAATACTGCTGCTCAGAACCTAAATAGAAAAAATGTCATTTAAAATGCAGCCTACTATAGCATCTAAAGAACTAGCATATTTTCAGTCTGGCTGTAAGTCTAGGAAATCTATGAAAAATAGATTGATTGCATCTAGAAAATGCCTTGTTGCAAAAAAAAAGTTGATGGAAGCATTTATGTGAATTAGTGCTAGCAAAGAGCAATAGGCAAGTATGATTTCCCCTCATAAGAGGAGAGAGATTATCCAAAGCAGTAAAATAAGATTCAGCACCCCAAACTCTTGTATGATGTCCCAAAGTCCTTTCCTAGTCCGATTGCCTATTACTGATATGGTGTACTAACATTGTGAGACTGCAAACACCCATTAACTCTGATGTAATCCCTAAAATAGGAAATGTTTCTGAAAAGCATGACATGGCTTAGAGCAGTGGTTCTCAACCTGTGGGTTGAGACCCCATTTGGGGTCGAACGACCATTTCATGGGGGTCGCCAAACAACGCAGTTCGCCATTTTTCCCCCTTTTCCTTAGCTGTGCTACTCCCTTTTATTCTATTGGCTTTTAAAAGCCAATAGAATAGACTCTTGAATAGAGTCTAATTCTATTGGCTTTCAAAAGCCAATAGGAATTGTCCAGGCTGTCTCTGCCCTGCTGAGCCCACCAAAAGTTCCATTCTGCAAATGGTGCTGCACCAGTTGAGTAGTCCTCGACTTACGACCGGTTGAGTAGTCCTTGACTTACGACCAGTTGGGGGTCGCGGCATTAAAAAGGTTGAGAACCACTGGCTTAGAGAATGATCAGATAAGAGACATCATAACTCTCAGCTGAATACTGAGTGGGCAAGAGGCTTTTATAAAGAAGATGGTAGGAGAATTGCACTTTTACACTTGCAAGATTCTGTTAATGTAGCTTTTCAATAAAGTAGAATTAGTTTATTTGGTTAGGTTTTCTATCTGACCTACTTAGTAAGGCTGACACAATTAGGAGATCCATGCTTTTGTTATGAATCCATAAACTCAAAAGAGTATTAGGAAATTTATAATATTTTGTTACACTTTATTATATTTTTTCACAAAAATCCCTTCCAATCAAATACTTTTTTTATTAAAACAGCAACAACAAAAACCATGTTCTTGAAAATGAGCAAATTACAAGATTAATTGTCATCAGGTGAGATTTGCATATTCAGGAAAGTAAATCTTCAAATAAGACATATGGATAAACAAAGTTGAAAGAGTTTATGAAATAACATAAAACACCTTATCTTCCCCGACACTTTCCAGTTATATTGAACTGCAACTCCTATCATCCAGCCCATGGTCCATGTTGAATGTGTGTAGTAGGGATAGTAATCAAACATGTCTGAAGGATGTCAATTTGAAAAGTATTGTACAAACTTTTCATCTCTTCTTCTATCTTATTTTCTTCCCTTCAACTCTTGTCTGCTGCTATTTTTCATAGGCTTATAAAAGCATGGAATTGTGAATCATTTAGCTTGTTGAAACTAAACCCCTGTTTGGTTCAGGAATGCCAATCAAAGCATTTTTGTCAGATTTCTTCCTGATTCAACTAATGATTCAATTCCTTCCCTAGAACTACAGTAGTGAACAAAAATGCACATTGTAGCACAATCAGGTGAAGGAAGATCTCCCAGATCCATAATTACTACCCTAATATTCTCTATACCCCTTCTCATGCATGATGAACTTAGTATAATCTTTACTGATCCTGAAAATATAGCTTGCTATGATGGGAGGAAGAGGAAGAAGAAGAGAGGATGACAGTTTTATAACAGCAGTATCTTCACTGAATAGATGAACAACAAAGGAATGCACTGAACTCCTTTGAATTTAGTTCTGAGTCAGACATATAGAACTGTGTTGTCATGCTCTTAGCTACTATGGCATTTTCATTATTACTTTAAAGGTTGCAATTTTTGTGAAAACTCAAAGTATTGGACAAATAATAAACAATAGGTATCATGTTACCCTTTCATAATATCTACTCTAATAGGAGAATTACTAATTCTCATATTAAAAAAGATATTTTCCATTGCCTTTAGAACTTTATAGAGAAACATATTCCCCTGTAAGTAACATAGAGTCTAAACTGGACATGTATTTCATAAGACTCTCTAAAATTAATGCAATTTAACACAACATTACTAAAAAATCTCAAATAGCAATGCATAAGGATATATAAGCAGAAATAATAAATGAACATATTTCAGCTCTGTTTTGGATGCATTGACTTATAGCAATCCACCCTACCTCCCTTTCTCTTTGACTTACCTGTCATTCTGGAATCTAAGAATCTCTGTTTTCCTGTTGAACTTCAGTCTGACTAGCAGACTTTTAGAGATCTTGTCGGTGATGAGAGTGCTTTCTGAGAACAAAACCAGGTAAGTAGATGATGTGTCATTCAGGAAGATCACAGACATGTAAGGAACTGGATTTGTCCCTTAAAAGATGGCAGAGTTGATGAATATGCCTTTTTCAGGAACACGTTTCAAGATTCACAGCCAGCCTATCACAAGCAGCTCACACCCATTTGCCACTGTTATGTGCTCACATCTTCCAGATCATGTTGTCTGCTCCTGTATACCTCCTGCTCTGCTTTCAATAAAGGCTAGAGGATGAGGACCGGGAGGGTATTCTCCCAAATTCACCTTATTGGGTAGGTGGATCAGAGGGATGTCTCTTATTTAATTTCCTATCTTTCTGTGTGCCCAAAGTGCTAAAGTCCCTGTGTCTCGCTCCTACCCTGACCCTGAATGACTGCTAACTACCCTGCAACCGGCTCCAGAGTCTGGAGGAATGTTTGATCCTTTGCAAGTCAGATTCCTCCCTCGACTGTCTGTTTCTACCTTCCTCCTGGGCTGCCCAGAATTGTTTCCATGGACACGGGGAGCAGCTGTCAGTGGCAGCAGGGGTCTTGAGGACTCGAGGAATCCAGCCATCCAAACAGCAAATCCTCCTTCCAGGGCAGTGACTGGATGATGCTGAGCTTGCTCCAGGAGGCAAACTTTCAGTGGTGATTATCTTGCTTTGTTTAAAGGCTATGAAGAAAGGGAAGAAATTTGCATCTAGACACAGATCAAGTCACTAGAAATTGGAGCAAAGTCTTAATAGATAAGCACCCTCAGAAAGTCAAACTTGCCTGAATCATGATAGTCTCCTCCTTTGCAGGATAGGCCCTTGCAGAATTGGACAAGGCAGACAGAGGAGACCGAATGCAGATTTATTATTAGAACAAGGGACATCTAAGAAATGCTGTCAGCTAATGCTGACCAGTTGTCCCTGCATATGCAAGCATTTGAAAGCTGGCAGCAAAGGCAGGAAGGAAATGACAGAGGGGACATTTTTTGTTTTCCTCTTTAAGAAAGGCAATCAAGAGGCTAATAAACTCAGAATATGAATTTCAGAAAGTTACTTTTATTGGTGGGACCAATGAAGATGGGGAAGATACCACCTGCTTAATTTGTCCACTGGCTTGGCAGAATCCAATCTGAGACCATGATCTGGAGATAATGGTTGTATTTCTAACCTTGGGCACACACAGATGAAATTGGAACCCCAGACTATAGAATCCTCACATTTATCATTGCACAAATGTTAAATAGCTAATCAGCTGAGATCTTGGCCAGTCTCCTTCCCACCTCTTTCTTTCTAGAAGCTATCTGGAGAACTGAATGCTTGCTCTAGGGCCACTAATGAATCTGTAACTATGAACTTCTTCATAGCTATTGTTGCAGTATTAAACTTGTCCTCATTACTATTATTTTGGCAGAACAATGTTAGATGACCCTAGAAGACATCTAGACATAGCCATATTTCCAGTTTATCCCAACTGTGAACTTCAGCCTGAGGGCAAGTATGCATGAAATCATCCTCAATCCAGCCCTATCTAGAAGGTAACACAATCACTGCTTACATTTTCTGGTACTACATAAAAAGTTTACTATAGAACCAGAGATGAAATAGTACAAGGACAGACCTGTGTTTTTGTGTTTTTAATAGATGAAATTGACAAGAATTCTGTCCCTTCTGTTCTAGCTCAAGTGACAGGAAAAAAGTTTAAAGGTCCTTCCTTCCTTCCTTCCTTCCTTCCTTCCTTCCTTCCTTCCTTCCTTCCTTCCTTCCTTCCTTCCTTCCTTCCTTCCTTCCTTCCTTCCTTCCTTCTGAAGCAAAATCTAAATATGATAGGAGTTGTATTAAATATGATCCAAACAGAACATCAAACCATCACTCTGGCTAAAAAGAAGAATTGGATTGAAATCTGAAAAGGGATTTGTTAAATTTAATTTCCAGGTAGAATGGCTTGCCTTCAGGAGTTGTGAGTGCTCCACCATTGGAGGTTTTAAAGAAAAAATTGGACTGCCATTTGTCCGGAATGGTACAGAGTCTCCTACTTGAGCAGGAGGTTAGACTAGAAGACCTCCAAAGTCCCTTCCAACCCAGTTAATCTGTTTCACACAGAATACAAGCTGCTGAAGGCTTCATTGCGGAAAAACCCTATGTCATTGGTAGGACTTACACTGCGGTGTAAATCACACCCATTTTAAAAAGTAAACTGGAAAAGGGAAAAAAAGAAAGGAAAATCACAATGCTGTGGCAATTACCCCAAAGCTTAACACATTCCATAAACTGAACAAACATATTATGTCATCACATAGTAAAAGTAAGGCTCCCTGAAACTGCCCTTTGTTTTTTGAGATTGCATAGACATCTCCATATAATTTTCTTGGTAGTAGTGCAGAAGCTGTTTGCCATTACCTTCTTCCAAGAGGTGTTATCAACTTCCCAATCTAGCCCTTAGCTTTGGTGTTTCCAGTTAATCTCCCATCCAAGAACTAATCTGAGCAGACCCTGCTTGGCTTTTTGAGATCAGCTAGGGAATTTTAACAAATATTTAATTTTTCTTGAAGCTGTTACAGTTTAAGCTATTTGAAATAATGTAATTTAAATGACTTTAAACTGTCGCAGGAGTTCTATAAACTACTTTAGTGCAGCAGCAGTAACAGAAACTAGGTAGTATTTCAATAAAGGCTTTAGAATTAAAAAATAATAAGAGCATATCAACTTGCGGAATTAAAACTCTGAGATAATAATAAGATGCTTGATGCCAGACACACACACACACACACACACACACACACACACACACACACATTCTTAAGAATGCTAAAAACAAAAAGGTGATTCCTGAGTTAACTAGCAAAAATGCAAGAACACCAGGAAATTATAAAACTATAAAAAAATTTTAATAAGTTAAAATATCAAGCTTTCGCCCAATCCACGGCCACATGAGGAGGGGGGTGGGAACACAGATACAAACAAGGAAAGCAAGAAATAACGATCAGCAACACGGAAACCCCAATCAGAGTGCAAGTGGATTGGCTGGGACCTGTAACGAGGTCCAGGAGCCGGGCGCAAACAACGCCATATCCATAAATAGCCTCCCCCATCGACTGGAAGCTACCCTGATGATGCTGGCAGTTGTTAAACATATATATATATATATATATATATATATATATATATATATATATATATATATATATATATATATATTTCTTTACCCTGCTAACTCTCCGCTGGAGCTGGAAATGCTGAAGGACTTCATTGGATGAACTAGAGATCATCAGAGACACTTTAATGAGATCTCCTTCCATCCACTGACAACACAAAGGTACCAGCATACTTGGGTGCTGCCTTCATTGTGAGTCTTCTTATGCCTCAGAAACAAATTTAAATTTAACTTGAGACAATATAAGGAAAGTGATTGGTGGAATCTTCTGGAGTCATGTGCTATTAGCGGGGGAAAAAAAGCTTTTTCTGAGGGACAAGGCAAGTTGTGACAAATGGCTGGTTCTTCTCTTGAAACCTGCTCCCAACATAGCTGATATCTATATCTGTGTGTTCATTTATCTGTCTCTGTATTTGTATTTCTGACAGCTTGAACTTGCCAAGCAGAAGCTACCACTCCTATTCACATGGAAGGAAGCGGATTTACCAAACAAAGCATCCTCTCCCTCCTATCTTATAGTAAATGTGCCTGCCTCCTGCAGATCAGGAATGCTTATGGCCTGCAGGCAGGTTTGTGTGTGTGTGTGTGTGTGTGTGTGTGTGTGGAGAGGGGGGGCAGGGAGGGTTTATTCTGCTTGGTAAAGCAAGAGATTGCCTACTTTACTAGACAGGATGCATCCATGCAGTAAATACTATAACTTTACCCCAGAAAGTGCATATCAGGTGCTTTGGCAGGGAAATGGGAGTGGTTACTATTTCAGTATAGCATACTTGCTTCATTGGGCAGAATGCACTCTCCCCCTCTAGATCCGGCACTTCAACACAATGGAGGTGATGGATGACTGTGCTTTTTGACAGATGTCTAGTGGTCTTCGAGAAGATGACTGGTGATATATTTTTTTTTAAAGGCTGCAAATCAAGAAGGGAGAAGCAGCTTTTAGCTGTCAGTTATTCAATTCTTCTCACTTTTCCTGCCATACTAATTAGGGAATTGTATTGCCGTGTTCTGCTTGTCACGCTTCTTTCAGACCAGTAGAAGAAGTGGGGAGAACAAGATCCACCCTTAAAATAGTACTTTTTCCCCCCTGGCCTGGAAAATGAGTAATAGGTAGAATGAAAGAGTGGTTAAACCAAGGATAGGGACCAATTTAACCCCATTTTCCCACCCTGTTACCCATTTTGGGAGCTGACACAATCCAGGAGTCCACTATTCATGCTGGGAACCCACCAGAACCAGTTTCTTCATGTGGGAATAGCATGTTATATCAATACAATTGTAAATGGATTTAGCAGATTTGCAGACTGAGTCATTGCTGTGGTCAAATCAGATTAGCCCTTCCTGAGATTGGAACTCATCTGGCCTGCCCAGACCAGTCTTTCAGTAGAAGAGCATATTGATCCCCCGAGCAATTTTTCTCTTGAGTTTTTGACTGGTTCATTGATTATAATTCATGTGTTTGCAATCAATCCTTCTCTAGCAATTTCATTCAAGTTGCTTACCTGTACAGAATTCCATACAGGTAATCTCTTCCATACAAAGCATATAGTTTTGTTGTGGTCAATTATGGCTTTCAAAATAGTTATAAAAGTACCAAGGATTGTAAGAAAAACCAGTCCACAAGTCCTGGACTAAATCTTGACAGACTTGAACACTGGGCACTATATAACAAAATGAAATTCAATGGTGAAAAAAGTAAGATTCTACATTTAGGCAAGAAAAACCAAATACACAGCTATAGTATGGGTAGTATCTTGCTCAATAGTAGCAACTGTGAGAGGGATCTCAGAGTCCTAGTGGACAATCATTTAAATATGAGCCAGCAGTGTGCTGCAGTGTGCTGCATTAACAGGGATAGAATCAAGATCACGTGAAGTGTTAATACCACTTTACAATGCCTTGGTAAGGCCCCACTTGGAGTACTGCATCCAGTTTCGGTAACCACGATGTAAAAAGGATGTTGAGACTCTAGAAAGAGTACAGAGAAGAGTGTCAGAAGTAAGTCTTCATCCTGGTTCATCCAAGCCGGGGATAAATAAGCAACATGGCGACTGCTTTTGGAAGAAGGTTACAGTTTATTGAAGACGCAGAAAGATGTTCCTTGCAGGAAAGAGCAGAGGAGAGGGAAGAGGAGTTGAGCACATGGGCAGTAGGTTTTTATATCCCCTCTAGCCTTGTTTGGAATAGTTTCCTGTTCCTGTGGCATGAATCTTGAGGCTATTTCTGAGTGTTTGTCTAGGCCTTGATATCTGTGGTTTAATCCTATTATCATACCCTGCTTCCCAGGTGATAGGGCTAATGACTCCTAGAGTTTGGGTGGGGCATGCAGATTTTCTCTTTGTCTTCTTGAGTGCTCTGGCTTCAACTTTCTGATGGTTGTACATCTGCATTTGTATGGGGCTAGCTCTTGCTTGGGGCAGAGAGATAGATTTGGGGCCAGGTTTGGTTTTAAAAAATCCTTTTGAGGAAAAATATATTTTTCTGCCCTTTTTAATATTTCCTTCTCTGGGCTAACTTCCCTCAAGAGCAACAAACATGATTAGGGGACTGGACGCTAAAACATATAAAGAAAGTTGCTGGAATAGGGTATGTCTAGTTCAATGAAGAGAAGGACAAGGAGTGACATACAGCAGTGTTCCAATGCATACAAAGAAGAGGGAGTCAAGCTATTCTCCAAAACACCTGAAGGCAAGACAAGAAGCAATGGATGGAAACTAACCAAAGAGAGAAGCAATCTAGAACGAAGGAGAAATTTCCTGACAGTTAGAACAATTAATCAGTGGAACAATCTGCCTTCAGAAGCTGTGAATGCTGCAACACTGGAAGTTTTTAAGAAGAGACTGGACAGCCATTTGTCTGAAATGATATAGGGTTTCCTGCCTGAGCAGGTGGTTGGACTAGATGACCTCCAAGGTCTCTTCCAACTTTATTATTATGGCTCATCGCACAGTCAGCCAGATGTTCAGACTGGATTTGGCATTTTGTCTACCTATCGAGTCCTTACCTAGGACCTGGGATAGGCAGATGTGGATGTTTGATGGTATTACAGATATTGTCGCAGGATGGAAGCAGTTCCTAGTAAGGCCGCCTTTTGGAATTGACTAATAGTGAATTTGTCAATGCCAATGGTGTTCAAGTGGTGTTCCAGTTGTTTTGGGATTGCACCCAAGGCGCCTATTACTATTGGTACTACTCTTGCTTGCTTTTGCCACAATTTTTCTATTTCTATTTGTAGGTCTTTGTATTTTGTTATCTTCTCCAGTTCTTTCTCGTCTGTTCTGCTATCTCCAGGCACTGCCACATCCACTATCCAGACTTTTTTGTCTTTCTTATCGACAATTGTTAAGTCTGGGGTGTTATGTTGCAGGTGCTTGTCTGTTTGAATTCTGAAGTCCCAGAGCAGTTTAATTTTATCATTTTCTATGACTTTCTCTATTTTATGATCCCACCAGTTTTTGCTTACAGGCAAATGATATTTTTTGCAGATCTTCCAATGCACCATTGTTGCTACTTTGTCATGCCGCTGCTTGTAGTCAGTCTGTGCAATCTTCTTGCAACAGCTTATCAAGTGGTCCACTGTTTCTTCAGCTTCTTTGCATAGGCTGTTTGTTGCTGTCTTCTCAATTTTGACTTTATATACATTTCTCCTTAAGGCTTGGTCTTGTGCAGCCAGAATTAGTCCCTCGGTCTCTTTCTTCAATTTTCCTGCTCTTAGCCATTGCCAGGTCTTGTTATTATCTGCTTTCCCAGCTATTTTTTTTAACGTATTGGCCATGTAGTGCTTTGTCTTCCCATGCCTCTATTCTGTTCTTCATTTTGTCTTTCTTGTAGGCCAATTTGGTCTCTCCAGTAGTCAGTAAGCCTTCCTGATATACTAATTTCAGTGCATCTTCATCATTGTTCTTCAGATATTCTTCCAAAGCCATTTTTTCTTCTTCAACCATCTGATGTACTTGTAGCATTCCATGCCCACCTATTTGCCTTGGTAGATAAAGTCTGTCAATGTCACTGCGTGGATGAAGGGCATGATTCATTGTCATTATTTTTCTGGTCCTCCTATCCATTGCTTTTAGTTCTGCTTGAGTCCAGTCCACTATTGCAGCTATGTACCTAATAACTGGAATTGCCCAGGTGTTGATTGCCTTTATGGCATTTCCTCCATTGAGTTTGGACTTTAAGATCTTCTTCACTCTCTTGATGTATTCACCTCTAATCTTTTTCTTGACTTCAGTGTGCTTGATGTTGTCAGCTTGAAGGATACCCAAGTATTTGTAGTAATCTTCCTCATCCAGACTCTTAATGTTATTTTCGTGGGGCATCTTGATTCCTTCAGTTTTCACTATTTTTCCTTGTTTGATAGTAAGTGTGGCACATTTGTCCAAGCCAAACTCCATTACAATATCTTGGCTATATATACGGACAGTGTTGAGCAGCGATTCTATTTCAGATGATGTTTTTCCATACAGCTTCAGATCATCCATGTAAAGGAGGTGGGATAGTCTGGCAGATGTTTTTGATGTTTGATAGCCATGTCCTGAGTTATTCAGTATTGTTGACAGAGGAAACAGTGCAATAACAAATAGTAATGGTGATAATGAATCTCCTTGAAATATTCCTCTCTTGATATTAACCTCTCCCAGTATCTCACCATTGATCTGCAACTGTGTCTTCCATTGTGCCATCGATCTTTGCACAAGTTTTCTGATGTTTCTACTGACTCCTGTTATTTCTAGGCACTTGATTATCCAGTCATGTGGCAGAGAGTCAAATGCCTTTTTGTAGTCAATCCATGCCACATTCAGGTTGGTCTTCTTTTTCTTGCAGTTTATTATTATTATTGTTGTTGTTGTTGTTGTTAATAATAATAATAAAGATTGATTGCTGCTTTGAGATTTTTTTTGATGAATTATAAGATTGAAATCCCAAGCATTTTTCCATACAGTCATTTGGGGTTGAGTCTGTCTCAGTGACACTTAACATAGCATTCTCACAGGCTGAGTTCTTAACTACAGTTTGTTGAGTAAATCACAGTGGTTAAGTAGATCTATTTCTGGTGCTAGCCAAAACAGTAAGCAGCTGTCTCAACAAGGCATCAGTCTTGGAGTCTTCACTAGGACTCAAGGTCCCTCTCACAGCCAGGTCACAGCCAGGTAATTTATACTTGTATCTTTGATTTTTCCTGCCTAAATGTAAAACTTGGCTTTTCTCCACATTGAAACTCATTTTGTTGCATAAAGCCTATTGTTCTGGCAGAGAACATTGTGTTACAATCTATCCAAGCAGTCTTCATGTCATTAAAGAAGAGGTGATTTAGAATCTTATAAACCACCAATAGGCAACAAAATTGACTAGGGTATGTTTTTAGGGTATGCACTGATAAATATTGCAGGTGATTGAGGAAAAACAGATGGCCTTGGAGTGCCATCTCCTGGATATTTTGAGTTCCTGCTCTCCTTGATGGCTGCTGGGAAAGAAAAATGCATGACAGCTATGAGTAAATTTGGGCTGCTTCATTTTTGCAAATATGTCAAATTCATTTAAACGCCCAAGATTTTTAAAATTAGAATT